AGAAATGGCATCAAAGGACTAAAAAAAATAAGAGATCTTTACTAAAGGAAGAACATCCTCTACCAAGTCCCCATGCGTAAAAACATGTTCACTGCTGTCAAATGCTACAAGGAAAAACATTCTTGCATGCATTCATGAGGAATTATCTTGCTAATTAAGCTTCATTTTTTCTTCTTCCTTCCCAGTGTACTTGGCTAATTGTTTTCCTATTCCTAGCTTCATTATTTTTTCCTTCGAGAACAACTTTCAAAGGCAGATTCTGGGGCCAGGGGAAGAGTACCACAATGCAATTCTTTGGAATCTCTCTCCCCTCCTACTCCTCACACCCCTCTACCGTGGACATTTTGTCCAGGAGTGCTGACGTCGCATCCTGCTGAGGTGCCAACGTGTGGTTGGCAGAAAAAGGGAAACTGGCTGGAAAACTGGTATTTATTTAATGGAAAAAAGAATAATTAATCATTAGACCAGCAGGTCTCAACCCCATGGTGAGCTACAGAGCAATCTGAGTCGGTCACTGAAGCTGTTGTGTTTCCCTTACACTCCTGCTCCTGCAGGGCTGAGGGAACAGCACCAACCAAAAAGCACGGCCTACTGTTTCATAGAGTTACAGATTCCAAGATCAGAAGGGATCATTGTGATCATCTAGTCTGACCTGTGTAACACAGGCCACAGAACTTCCCCCCAAATAATTCCTAGAGCAGAGCTTTTAGACAAACATCCAATCTTGATTTAAAAATTGCTAGTGATGAAGAATCCACAATGACCTTTGAAATTGTTCCAATGGTTAATTACCCTCATTGTTAAAAATTTACACCTTATTTCCAGTCTGAATTTGTCTAACTTCAGCTTCCAGCCATTGGATCGTGTTATACCTTTGCGTGACACACTGACAAGACAATTTATCAAATATTTGTTCCCTGTGTAGGTACTTATAAACTGTGTTCAAATCACCCCCTAACCTTCTCTTTGTTAAGCTAAACAGATTGAGCTCCTTGAGTCTTTCACTATAAGGCATGTTTTCTAATTCTTTAATCATTCTTGTGGCTCTTCTCCGAACCCTCTCCAATTTATCAACATCCTTCTTGAATTATGTCACCAGAACTGGACCCAGTATTCCAGAAGCAGTCACACCAGTGCCAAATACTCCTACTCGAGATTCCCCTATGCAGGCATCGAAGGATCACATTAGCCCTTTTGGCCACAAAGTTGCACTGGGAGCTCATGTTCAGCTGATTATCCAGCATAATCCCCAAATTTCTTTCAGAGTCACTGCTTCCCAGGATAGAATCCCCCATCCTGTGAGTATGGCCTACATTGTTTGTTCCTAATATACTCATTTACATTTAGCCCCATTAAAACTATTTGCTTGCGTCCAGTTTACCAAGCGATCCAGATCACTTTGAATCAGTGTCCTGTCCTCTTCATTATTTACCACTTTCCCAATTTTTGTATGCTTGGCAAACTTTATCAGTGATGATTTTATGTTTTCTTCCAAGTCACCAACCCATGTTGACTCGCATTAATTATTCTATTCTCCTTCAATTCTTTATTAATAGAGTCCCGTATCAGTCACTCCATTATTTTGCCTGAGATCAGTGTCATACTGACAGGCCTTGGTCATCCTGTTTGCCCCTTTTAAATATGGGCACAACATTAGCTTTATTCAAGTCTTCTGGAACTTCCCCAGTGCTCCAAGCCTTATTGAACATCAACATTAATGGTCTAGCGAGCTGATCAGCCAGCTCTTTTAAAACTCTTGGATGCAAGTTATCTGGACCTGCTTATTTAAAAATGTCTCATTGTTGCAGCTGCTGTTTAACATCCTTCTAAGATACTAGTGGAATGGAAAGATTGTTATCACCATCATATGACACTACATCACCTATTTTCTTCCCAAATACAGAACAGAAATATGTATTGAACACTTCTGCCTTTTCTGTATTACTATTGATAATTCTACCATTTCCATCTGGCAATCACATACAGCTCCCTCTGTACCAGGGAAGTAACAGCTTGGTAGCCTGCCAAGGAACAGAAAAGAGTTTTGCCAAGCAGTCGAGCCTGACTCTTGGGAGCCCTGCTCCTGCCTTACTGAGCCTTCTCCCCCGGAGCACAGCAGGAAACCCAGCACACTTCTGTTCACACCAAAAACTTGATGGCACTGAAGCTGCTGGGCCCTCTAACAACTCAGAGGCCAACCAAAATCAAGAAGAGAATGCTGCAGTTCTCCCCTTAACACAGATGTCGGTGAATGAGAACAGACACTGGATGGATTTTAAACAGCCACAACTTGATTAAACTTGGCACAAAAGGGAGGGGGGGGGGAAGCTACCCACCTGTCACCTATATTCTCACATACCAGGCATTTTAAGTGGTTCCAGTGTGGAGGTTACAGGGCTCCTACCATACAACCCATAACTTGGGGTAGACTCTCCTCAGCCTACCCCTATGACTCAGCTTCCTCTTCTGAATCCTTTCGCATACACACAAGCCCACATCCACAGCACCCCTATCCCATGAGCACAAGGCCTGTCAGCAAATTCTCAGGTCTTTTACTTCTGGGAACTGCCCCTTTATCTTTTTAACCACCCTAGAGACCTGTGAAGAACTAACAACCCTATCAAGTATTACCAGTACCCTGGGGGGACATCTGTAATGACTAAATTCTATGACTATTTAACCTAACTGTGCCTCCAGGAGGCTGTGAGGAAGGCAAAAAGCCCATCAGGCCTCTGCCAATTTGATCGCAATGGAACTAAGAAATTCCCTGGTGACTCCCTAAAACAGGCAATCAGTCAGAACCACAGCATCTGCTAAACACAGCTCCAAACCCACAGTTAAAGGGAGGCGAGGCAGAGCTGCTGAAACAAGAAAAACAGACTCCTAAGGATCCAGGCTAAGGTTTAAATCAGTTAAAGGGAAAAGCAAGAGACCAATCATCTTCTCTCCTCCTCCAGCTGATCAATAGCCCAACAGAGCCTCTGGAGGAGATAGGGCCACTCCTATTATCTCCAACCTGTGCTCTCCTGCTTCCCAACCACCACTGATCCCATAGTTTGAAGTAGGTGGGTGGCATTTTCCCGATCCCACATCTCTGCCACATGGAAGAAAAAGAAAGATTCCGAGAGATGAAATCTTGCCAAGTGGAGACAGAGAGACGCAAAACTCCACTTATCAACCAGAAGGGTCTGAGACAGATGAGAGGATGAAAGGGAGAAGAACGGAGGGAGAGATTTAGAAAAAGGGGCCATGAAAGGTGAAGGGGAAAGTTCTGACGTTTTTAATGCTGGAACCTGCCTGGATTTAAATTTTAGCTAGGTCAGAAGGAAAAGAAAGAGGAAGAACAAAAATGAATTAAAGCACAAAACAATACCTGCCAATATATGAAAGCTATAAATTGGTACATTTGAGGTCTGAGTCAATGCCAATGGACATCTATGGAGATACCCCCGTTGACATTAATGGACTTCAAATCAGGCCCTTAAAGAGAACCTTTTAACACACTAAACTAGGGGAGAATTTTTCAGGGACAGACTATTAAAAAGTTATTTTTCTGAACAATAGCAACTGCCCTTTATTAAAGAGCTATGTCTCTGCGCTGATATATGGTGTCATGGTAGGAAAATAGAGGGCAGTTTTAGGATCATGAATGGAGAAAAGTTGAGAATCTCTGTAGATCAATCGATCAAAAACTCTCCAAGTAAGAAATGTATCCTTATGCGTCATCACTGGAAATCAAGCTTCTGTTCTAGAAAGCTACACAGCTCAGTTTGTGTGTATGTCATTCTGCTAAATTTCACGTCATTCAGCACAGTAAAGAGAATAAACATAGAAAATAGAAAGGCAGTTTTATGTTTTTATATGAATAAACCCACAAATCACATGTAACTAAGTAAGAAATACATTTTACCATGCTGTATGTGCATTTCTGTTTTAGTCATATGGATCAAGACCAGAAAGTTAAATGGGGCAGGAAAGCTTTTCATAATGTGGTGTGTGGCTTTTGGAAAGCATAGTGAGGAATTTTTGCAGAGGATGACCCATTTGGAACAATAACAGCAACTTCTGAAATACTACTCTTTGGAATTCAGACAAAATATCTAAGGCAAACTCTGCAGGGCAGGGGAAGAAGAAGTAATAATGAAGTGTTTCTTTTCTGTCTCTGAATAGTTGTATAGCAACCTATTTGTTAAAACACATTACATACAAATTATTCTTCGTCCCTTGAAAAATTATCTCCTCAGTCTGAATATACTGTATTAAGGTTTTTGCTTAATTTAATTCTACCCTTCTTATTCTATAAGTACAGGGTACTGGGGACGGAATGCAAAACTGAACAGTTTGGGATTCATGGATCTGCTCCTTTGAGGTACTCAGTGATCCCAACCACCACTGAAGTCAATGGGAGTTGAGCCTGCTTGGCATCTCAGAGGATCCAGTCTAAATGCTTTAGTGGCCGCAATGGCACAAGGAGCAAATCTAACAACATGGCTGGGATTTCGTGGGAGCCTACAATATCATACGCTTTGTCATGAAGTGCTACAACATTTAATAACAATTCCCTGGAGAGGTGGTGAAGGGGAAAGTTCAGTAGTTTTTTTCAGCAATGGAGCCTGCGAGGAGTCAAATTTTCAGAGGTGAAAGTGAGCTTAGGGATCTTAATTTTATCCATTGTTACCTTTAGTCAATGTAATCAAACTGTTCCCAAGCCTTTCACCATCAGACAAAGGTAGCAGATACCCAGAACAGGATAACTGGGGTCACAATCTAGAAGTGAAGTGCATTGACAGGGAGAATTTACACAGCTACTGACTTTACCGACATACATACATCTGGCGGTTACTAATCAGTTGCTAACTTCCATGTGAACTAAAATTCACCCCATAAGGTTAGAAATAACCTTTTAAGTTAAAGTCTGTCGGTTCTACGTAACCACATATATTTTTTTTGCACAGATAAAATGTTTAGTAACATTCATTCACACAAAAGTTAAGGCTTACCATTGCTGTAAGACCGAAAATTTCCTATAAATTTTATGTATTCATATGTTGGAAATTCCTTCAGGTTCAAACTTCCTCTCAGAAGATGACAGTAAAACTCTAAATCATTGTCAGCTGGATTGTTAGAAAAAGGAGAAATAAATAAATAGGCTATTTAAACTAAACACGAGTGGAAAATTTGGTCCCAATCCTGCAACTAGTAGTGTATGACTACACTCGCTCAGAGCCCCACTGAGTGCAGTCCACCAGCATGCTAATTGCAGGATTGAAGCCTCTGTGAAAAGAACCCTAAATAAACCCAGAATGTTCAACACTCCTAACAGATTTTTTTCTCATGGCTGATTTGCAGAATTAGGGCCTGACTCTTCACTCCATTATGCCAATTTTATTAAAGGAATTACACTGCCATAAACCTGGTATAATGGAGAGCAGAATCAGGCCCTTAATTTAAAACCCTTATTTATTTAGGTTTTTCTTTCCATAATTCACAGATTTTTCATGTCTTCTGTTTGGGGGGAAAACTGTCCATTTCTTTTAAAATTAACATTGGAATAGCAGAGGGTTTTCTATATAGTAGATTTTTAAAAAATGGTGTAGATTCTATTGTCATGTGTTCCATATTTTTTGCCTCCCCCACTCTTAGAGCTAATTTAGATGAAGTATGTGAAAGGATTATTTATGAAAAAAATTAAATGATAAAATAAATTCGGATTAATTTACCCATATTTCAAATGTAATGTAAAACACAGGTGTGCATCACTAGAGTATCTATGGACAGAATATAACTGTACTAGGTTGAAACATAAATTAAGATGTGATTTGTTTCCACTGAACTTCTCTAAATTTCCATGGTCAAACCTGTTTTCCTTAGCTCTCCCCTAAGACACGATATTTTATAATTAACATAGCTGCAAGCAGTCTTGCTTTAGTAAATAAATGCAATGAATCTAGTTGGAAATTGAACAGAAGCATCATTTCTGGTGGCAACATTTGTTTCAAAATGAATGAAATATATCTAAAGATGCAAAATATTCATACTGACATATATCACAGAGAGACTCCACCCTTGCAAGAGAGAAATCTTCTCTCTCCCATGCTTTTTGTTTAGTGGGAATGATAAAACAAAACGTACTCTTTAGGGAATCTGATGAGGCAGAATCTGCCATAAGCATACGAGAAGATAATATTTTATAAACTTCTGAATGTTCCTGTTCTGGGAGGAAATTTAACAAATTCTGATCCATGACGTCACACTGCAAAGAAAAGAAAGTACAAATGATCAAAACAAAAGAAGAGTGGAATTCTCATTCTCCACCAACCTGCCATTTTCCGCAATTGGGACTGAATTTTATTTGCGAAACCAAACAGCCCAATTTTCATAAGCAGCTGTTTAAACTTTCCATGCCCATAGGCACTTAAATACACAAAGTGCCAGATCCAAAGCCCATGGAAGTCAGTGGGAATCTTTCTGTGGACTTCCATGTGCTGTTGTTCTGGTCTAAAATAGGTAAGTGGGTACACAAGTTAGGCAGACACTTCTTAAAATTGTGCTCTGTATCATCATCATCAGATATTATACTGAACAAAAGTAGTACACGCTGGGCCAAATCCATCTCTGGTGTAACTCCATTAACACTTGTGAAGTTCCCCTAAGCTTGAGTTTTCTTCATTAGAATTAAACCTCTAAAGGTAACCCACTCCAAAGGAAGTCCCTGCTGATCATATAGGGCTAGACTGTGGAAGAGAGGGTGTAGTGAGCCTTCCCACCTGCAAAGCACAGCCACAATTGCAGATTCTGAGCTTTGGGATGTGCAGTGACTGCCTCCTCTTACTGCTCCAGGAGCACAAACCAGTAAAGGAAGGCAGGGAAGAGGTGGGTCCATGGCTTTGCCCCTGCCTATGTCCCTTGTCCCAGCTAGAGCTGGTCAAGCAAACGGTAGAGGAGTGCTACACCATCCAAAGGGACAGTGCAGCACGTGAACTCCCCTTGTGTTCATAGGGGTACTTTGGTAGGGATTGTGCATCCTCAAGCACAATCCCATCTGGATTGGTAGGGCTCTGTACTGCCACCAATAGGCCACTGGCTTAACTGCACAGTCTGGCCCACACTCTGTATGTCTACACAGCAAAGAAAAACCCACAGCTGGCCCGTGCCAGCTGACTCAGGCTTGCGGGGCTCAGGCTGCGGGGCTGTTTCACTGCTGTTCAGATTTCAAGGCTCGGGCTGGAGCCCGGGCTGTAGGTCCCTGCAGGGTGGGAGTGTCCCATCTTTTTTGTTTTGTGTTTACACGGTGCCTAGCACAATAAAGTCATAGAATCATAGAATATCAGGGTTGGAAGAGACCTAAGGAGGTCATCTAGTCCAACCCCCTGCTCAAAGCAGGTCCAACCCCAACTAACTCAAAATCAAAATCCATACCTAGAGCTCCTAGGAGCTACCACAATATAAATAATAATGATCCATTTCCATATTTGGGATTGGATTTCAGACAAGGTTATCATGCTAAAGACTAATAGGGCGAGGAAAGAATAACCAGTTTACAGTTTTAGATCACAATTCAGGAAAGTATTTAAGTACCTGCCTAAATACGTCCTTATTGAAATAGGGTTTAAGTCTCATTGACTTCAGTAGGACTTTAACACATGCTTAATTGCCCTTCCTGAGTAGGAATGTTTTCCTGAATTGGATCCCTAGTTTCCAGTAGGATTCAAGAGTAGAGGGGAAAGCAATGAAAAGCATTTCCTTAACACTGAGACAAACATCTGAAAAACCTTGAAAACTGAAGAAATTCTGTGGAAATCATTGGGCCCAACAGACCGTAAGACAGAAAGAGGCAATCTCTCTACCCACAAATGACAGAAAGATTATTGAACTCCTGCACTGTGGAGGACTAAAGAAAAATGAAGTAGGTGGTTTTAGCTTGAGCTACTTTGTTACTGTTGCATAGCAATATTCCTATGTTCACCACCAGCCCTCCTTATTTCATGACATAATTTCACCTAAGGAGAAAATAATTACTCATCGTATTATAGTTTAGTGGAATATGTTAGGTATATTTTGTTGGATGGAATATATTTAACATATTTGGCTGAATGGCGAAATGAGCGTAAAACATAATTACAATTTTCCTAAGGAAAAAAAAAAAGGCATGTGGAATAGAAGTGCTTCCTGTTGCTTCTGGCTGTGTATTTATATGGAAACTGAACTACTAAAAATGAGTGAGGATTAATGCCTTAATTATCATACCATCTGTCCCAGTCCAGTATCACCAGCAGGAGCAGAAAGAAACCAACTCTTTTCCCCTGCTCCCCACGCTAGACACAGCATATAGCACAGGAACATCTTTGGGACACGAGACCCAGTAACCAATCCCCCCCAACACACAGCCACATAGAGCAGCAGCTCCACCACTCCCACCTTCCTGGGAATAATCCTTAAAAGGCCTGCTTTCCTTTGGACCAGACCAGCAGCAGACCTTCACAGCCCAACAGCCTGGTGACATCAGTCAACCAGTTCAGGATCTGATCCTATTCCACTGAAGTCAATAGGAGTTTTGCCCTTTATTTCAATGGAGTAGAACCAGACCCTCAGTGCACCTCTCAGAAGGCCATCATCACCAGCAGCACTATTCCCCATCAACTATAAGTAAGACTGTGATTCTGTCACAGAGGTTGCGGAAGTCACAGATTCCATGACTTTCCGTGAACTTCTTGTCTTCCACAGCTGCAGTGGCCGGTGTGGCTGGCCTGAGCAGCATCAGTCCTGGGGGTAGCCTTGGGGACTGTCCAAGCAGCAGCAGTCCCGGGGACGGCTGGAGAAGTGGCCCTGGAGGCTGTCGGGAGAGCAGTCCCCAGGGGCATCGGAGCAGTGGGCTGTCAGGGCAGTCAGCCCCCCACCGCTGGAGTAGGTGCCTCCCAGAGCAGCGGCACCTCAGGGCCCTCCAGAGCAGCAGGGCCCCAGGAGAAGATTTAGTCATGGGTATTTCTCATTAATTTTTGTTTATTGCCCATGACCTGTCCATGACTTTTACTAAAAATACCCGTGACTAAATCTTAGCCTTAACTAGAAACCATTTTATATTTTTCCTAGAAACCAAAGATGGAAAAGAAGTTAGGTCATATTGTCCCTCTCCGCACCAGAATATCCTTCAGAGCTTTGTCTTGTCTAGTTTTAAATGTTTCACAGCAACAGGGAACTGAAGTGTATGAATCATACTAAAAAAACCAAAGATCACTGGTTGGATATTTTTAGAAATTATAAATTTTTAATTTTGATGGGAAAAAGTCACAACATTTTCATCTCCCCCCCTTTTTTAACCAATGCTAGAAATAAATTGGGGGCCCAGTCCTGCCCCCAGAGTGAATATTCACAGAAATCAATGGGATTACTACTCACAAGAATAAGCACTACATGCAGGTTTTGGAATTTACAGGATTGACCCATAATTTGTATCTGCAAAAGAGTGTGCAAGAATTACTCACGGGTAAATGTCCAAGTAGAGGTGTAATACTGTCAGAAACATATACAATGGTTCCATCTGTGGTGACTGCTATAATGAAGCCATCTAATGCCTAAGAGAAATGCACAAGTGGAGAGTTCTTTAACAGTAGTATGGGCTTTTATTAGTAATTCTCATTGTACATTGATCAAAACCTGTTATCTCACCACCACATTATTAGTAGGTTGTAGGAACATTATCTCAAGTTGCACAACAGTAATTCTCTAATTTCACAGTCTTATCTCACTTATACAGTGTTCTTTGTAGTTCAGCAAAATATACTAGCTGAGACAACAAAAGGCTTACAAGAATATTTCAGATATCAGTTTTTAAATTAATAATAATGCAAAATGGCTAAGCCTGGATCCTTGGAATTTATTAAAAAAAGTTAGCTCTGTGTAAATATCAAAGTATCATGACAGGACACAGTGCTATCTCAAATAATAATTACCCACAAAATTAATCTGTTTGTATTAATGTAACATTGTATATTACTATGCTTTCATGTAAATAAAAGCAAGAGAAATGATCAAATAAGCTTTAGCTTCAGGTTTAACTGAGTGACTTATTTTAAAGATCATGGTATTCGATTATTCATTAGTGGTACAATTCACCTTTGTGCAGAGAGCCAATATAGAACTTGAGCATTACTTAAATCCCACACAGCAGCAGATTCTCCAGCCCTGGGATTTAAGTGGGGGCACAAGCCTTGTACCAGCCCTCTGCATCGGAGAAAATATCACCCTAAAATATTTTATCATGTAAAAATATTTTGCTCATAGCCATATCTGAAATCAATAGCCTATTCCATCTCAAGCTAAACCTTCTAAGTGTATCTAAAGCAAGGCCTCATCTACTACTCCAACAAGGAGAAGCAAACAAATAAGAAGCATTTACAGTATTTGGTCAAGTACAGTATTAAATTCATAGCTCCAGTCCTGCTCCCACTGAAGTTGATGAGCCAATAGCAAAACTCCCATTGACTTCAGTGGGAGCAGGTCTGGATCCATAAATCAATCAATCAAAGTTCTGATATTGGTGCCAGTCACCTAGGGAGGTGGTGGAATCTCCATCCTTAGAGATTTTTAAGGCCCAGCTTGACAAAGCCCTGTCTGGGATGATTTAGTTGGTGTTGGTCCTGCTTTGAGCAGGGGGTTGGACTAGAGGACCTCCTGAGGTCTCTTCCACCCCTAATCTTCTATGATTCTATGATCATTATTGGAGCAACACAAATGTTACAAACATTAACTAATTAGAATAAGGCTTATACATATGCTTTTGGAGAGATCTGTTACTGTGCAGGTGTATTGTAAAAAGCCAGATTACTGTGACATTGAGCTCATAGGTTAAATGCAAGATCTTATTGCAAATCTAGGGAATATTACCTTTTAATGATGTTATATTGCATGACCTCCAAATCATGACAGTCTAGGGGTAGATCCTGTGAGATGCTCAGTACCTTTACGTCCCATTGACTCCAATGAGAACTCAGGGTGACCTGGCACCTCTCAGGAATTCCCATATAATTCAAGACATTTTAAAAAATAATCAATATTTTTCAATAAATAAACATATGTCTTGGTTGCCAGAAGTGCTCAGCACCCCTGCCTGCTTACATCAATGAGATCTTCAGGTGCTCCAAACCTTTGACAATCAGGTCAATAATTTATACCTCAGTGGAAGACTATGTTCACTAGCTCTTATAGTTAGTTTGGTTCTGTTAAATTTAGGTGCAGATAATATTTTTCTGTCATACATTTAAAATATTTTCTAAAAGCATTATAGCAATTAACTCAGGAAGGAGAACAGTGGCACTGCAGGGCAGCTGGGTTATGCCTGTTACTATGGTGAGGTGTTTTGTATTAAGTCTGTATGCAAATCATACAAATTAACTCACATTATAATTCTGTGGGGAAATCAAATTAACGTATGCATATATAATTTTATTTTACTTATTTGAAAATAGTCCATCTAACATTAATATGGTGTCTCTCTCATCAAAGGTTATTCAGCTGTAAAAATTACAATTGTACAGATATAAATTAATACTGTTCCCTTCTAAATCAGCGACCAAATTCCCATGGTGCTTAAACTTAGACTTAGAATCTCCTGTGCCTACTGGCACATGAGTCAACCCATTTTTCCCATCACTGTCTGTCCAGAGCAAGATGTTTGATTCCTTCATAGGATGTCTCCATGCTGGCAGCATCCTTTTCAATCTTCCTGTGATAGGTCATTCTTTGTTCTCCATCCCTTCTCTTCCCTCCAGGTGGAATCCAATCTAAGATGTACCTTGTGCTTCTGTCACAGGGTCGCATGATAACATGGCAAAATCACTGTGGCAGTGTCTGTCTAATTATTGAGTCCACAGTCTGCTGAACCAGGGGCACCACACTTCCACATTGTTCACACAATCCCTCCAATGAATTCCCAGGATTCTTCTTAAACAACATGGTGGAATCCATTCAGCTTCCTGTTGTGTGCTTCCACATCTGCCACATTTCTGAGGTGTGGACAGTAGTGTTGGAAGGACAATAGCATTGTACAATCTCTTTGTAGTGTGCAAGATACATCTTCTTACTCTTCCAGCTGATTGAAAAACAGGAAAATGAACTTCTGGTTTTACTGTTTCTTGCCTTCATTTCTTTAGTGAGCTGGCCCTTGGCAGATATTGTACTTCCAAGATAGACTAAGTCATCAACTCTTTCGTATTCTTCTCCTTCAATTTCACATCTGCCAGTGTTGATAGCATTCTCTCCTATCTCCATAGTCTTGATCTTCCGTGTACTGTTTCAAAGTCCCACTTTAGCAGCTTCTGCTTTCATGCTCTCAAGAATGGTGCAGGATCAGGTCATTATCAAGACAGCAGCCATTTCACTGCAGTCAAATACACTTTGGGGTTTTTTTTTGAGCCATTGCTTGCAAAAAGCAAGCTTTTATAGCTGGACAAAGAATATTTTTAAACAGAGTCTTGTCCAAACATAGTAAGTTAGGACTTGTTTGGGTGACCAAGCACAGAGAGAGAGAGAGAGAGAGAGAGAGCGCAGTTCAACAGGACCTCCCAATATCTACTAAGCACCGGCTCATGAAGAATCATAGTACTATCTTCTATTGGTAACTACCCTACAAGAAAAGTCTGCAAAAAAGGAAAGTTACTTATCTTGTAATAACTGGAATTCTTCGAGATGTGTGGTCCCAATGGTTATTCACTGTGAGTGCACATGCGCTCCTTGTGCCTAAGACTAGAAGATATTTCAGTAGCAGTATCTGTTAGGCACCTCCCTGTGCTCCGGTGGCAGGTGTATGCATGGGCACCTATGGGAAGGTGGTGAACCAAAGTTGTCTTGGCCAGCAAGGTGCTAACAGGATTACTGTTTCTCAACCTGCTTGATCTTCCTGAGGACACCAGGGAATAAGGGAATGGGAGGGAAGGCGTACATTGGTGGGTCCAATCACTATAAGAAGGAATCCTTCTGGAGTTGTGCCTGTGGGCAGCTTAGGAGCATTATACTAGACACTTTCTTGGTCGCTTGGGTCACAAAGACGTCCCAGGATGGAATGAGCTCCACTACCAGAAGAAGTACTGCATGGCCAAAGGGTGGATCTCCCCCTCATGATCTTTATGGAAAAAGCCTGCAGAGGCTGTCTGCCAAGATGTTCGTTACTGCCAGTAGGTGCACTGCTGAGATGGGGATCTGATGCCAGATGAACCAGTTCCAGAGTTTGACTACTTCCATGCAGAGTGGGGCAGACTTCACTCCTCCTTGTTGGTTTATATAAAATATTTTAGTCATGTTGTCTGACATGAGTTCAACATGTGCAATACAGATGAAGGGAAGAAACCTCTTGCGAGCTTCATGCACTGTCCAAAGCTTGAAAAGATTGTTATGCCGTTTGGTTTCTTATAAAGTGCAGGATGGTCTAGATGGTCATCCAGGTTAGCTTCTCAGTCAAGCATGGAGGCATCCATAATTAATGTCTTTTTTGGTGGTAGGGGAATAAAGGAACCCCTATGCAGACAGCGTCTTTGATTTCCCACCAGGTGAATGACATTAGGATGTTCTGAGGAAGCAAGACTCATTTGTCAAGGGTGTCCCTACTTGGAGTGTAAACCATCCACAAACATGTTTGAAGACACCAGAGGTACAGACTTGTCATATAGATCAGTGGTTCTCAACCTTTTTCTTTCTGAGGCCCCCCCACAACATGGTGTAATCACAGCCCAGCTGTGCCACAACAACTGTTTTTCTGCATATAAAAGCCAGGGCCAGCGTTAGGGGGTAGCAAGCAGGGCAACTGCCTGGGGTCACACACCACAGGAGGCTGCGTGAAGCTAAGTTGCTCAGGCTTAGGCTTCAGCCCTGGGTGATGCGCCTCAGGGCCCCAGACTTCAACCCCAGGTGGTGGGGCTTTGGCTTTCTGCCCTGGGCCCCAGCAAGTCTAATGCCGGCCCTGCTTGGCGGACTCCCTGAAACCTACTTATGGTCCTCCAGGGGCCCCCAGACTCCTGGATGAGAATCACTAATGTAGATGCAGGCATTCATATGGCCTGGAAAGAACCAGGCAGGATCGGACTGCTATCTAGGGGATGAGTCGAAGCTAGGTGGTGAGATCCCTCATCGTGAGGAATGTATCCTGACTTAAGTACGCCTTGCCCAAAATCGAGTTCAGATTCACCCGGTTAAATTCTAAAACTTGTGTGGGGCCTGAAGTTGACCTTTCTAGATTTACCTGAAGTCCCCAGAAGTAAAAGCGATTGCATAAGGAGAGGACCGCCATCTGCGCCTCCTGATACGACTGACCTGTGAGCAGCCAGTCATCAAGGTAAGGAAATATTGGGCTGTCTTACAGACTCAGACTTGCTGCTACTACAGAAAGTGAAACCTCTTGGAGCCGCTGAGATGCCGAAGGGAAAAACTCTGAACTGAAAGTGTTCGAGGCTCAGCGTGAAGCACAGGAATCTCCTGTGTCCTGGATGAATGTCTATATGAAAGTAGGCATCCTTCAAACTGAGAGCCGCAAACCAGTCGCCTTTCTGTAGGGAGGAGATTATTAAGATCAAGGTGGTCATCCTGAATCTCAAATGGGCACATGAAGACATTCAGCTGTCTGAGGTGTAGGATGGGTCTCCAGCTCCCTTTCTTTTTGGGGATGAGGAAATATCTGGAGTAAAAGCCTTTCCCCCTGAGTTGAGGGGGCACAGGCTCTATCTAGCTGGATTTGGGAGTCCTCCTCCTGTGTGTGAGTCCTCTTGTGAGAAGGGTTCCTGAAGAAGGACAGGGAATGGGATTTTGGAGAAGGGAAGACAGGAATTTGATAGTGTCGCCAGTCAAGAAGCTGTTGAGGACCCATTTATCCAATGTGATGTGATGCCACATAAGGAGGAAAGGGACCAGGCAGCCCCCAAAGAGTGTGGGATAAGGGCAGTGCAGAGAAAGGGCAGTGCGAAGACTTGTTGGTGATTCTCAAGCATTCTTTGTTGGTGGGAATCTGGGACTAAAGAGTGGTGCATTTACCTGCTACTTTGCACCCTTTGATGTTTCCAGGGAGGCTCACAGACCCTTGAATGACAGAAGGGCAGAGGGACAGGATGGAGGAGGCAGCTGGGAATATTTCCTCCGGGGTGCCAGGATACAGTTCCCCAAGGAGCAGAGTGGTGTGTGACAGTTCTTAAGGGAATGAAATGACTCATCTGTTTTCTCGCTAAACAGGTTGTTACCCTACAAGGGGAGATCTTCTACTGTTGCCTGGACCTCCTTGGGGAACCCCGAGGATTGCAGCCATGCACCTCATGATGACCGAAGTCGCCATGGAATGAAAAAACGTATCCGCTGCATCCAGCAACATTTGATGAGATGGTCTGGCAACAATTTCCCGTAGTCAAAGATGGCCCAGAATTGGGGCCTGGCTGAAATTTGTTTTTCCTACTGAAGAGATCTAGTTCTTGTGACCCTGGTCTGAAGGGGTGGGCCTAGGTTGGAGCAGTTTGTTATGCTCGTTAGCAGCCTGGACCTGCAGCGAATGTAGCCTCAGAGTGAAGGTACCCTGCAATAGGAGCACTGTACTGAACTTTCATGGAGGCACCAACCACCTGCAGCAACACCTTCTGCTCTGCCACCACAAGCCTAATCCCAGCCCAGTTAGGAGGGGTGGGCAGACCCAGGGAGAGGGTGGCTGGACAGCGAACCCACCCTGCACTCACCCCACAGTGGGAGCTCCTGTTCCATGGGGCTGGGCCCATCTTCCCACTCCAGGCATTGCAACCTGCTGCTTTGCCCCCAGACACCAGGTTGCAATGTCACTCATGCAAATTTGGCCCAGCTGGACCAAAACTGAGATGGGGTCCTGTGCCAAATGCAAGTGAAGTCGGGTCTGATTTCTGAGGGTGCAATTATACTCATGGACCCTGGCTAAAGCCTCCCCAACCTGGACCACTACAGAGTTCAGGATGGGGTGGGAACACAAATGTACTTTTTCTCCACTGTTTTCGGGGACAGAGTGCACTCGCTGGGCGGTGTCAGATATTGGCAATGACATGCCTTCCCTCGCTGCAGCCCCCAACCTGCCTGCAGGCACGACAGCCGCGGGGAGAGGGGGCTACAGCCTGGATGCCGGGGCTTTCCAGGAGGAGGGGAAGCTGAGGGCAGGGCAGCAGCAGAGAAAGGTACCGTGCAGCTCTGCGAGTTCCCAGCTGAGAACCCTGGCATCTGGACTGCAGCCCCTTTCCTACCCACAGCCTCCCCACCCAGCCTGCAGCATCAGTACTCCAGCAGGGGCTCCCCCACTGGGCGGAGTTGTGGGGCCCCCATCCCCTTGCCTCCTGTGTGGTCCCTGAGCACAGGCAGGTTTGCAGGGCTGAAGCCAAGGAAGTCCCAGCCCTTCCTTCCCTAGCTCCAGCCTCACAAACCTGCCTGCAGTCAGGGCCTTTCTTCTAAAAGAAGTTCTGAAGAAGTGGCATGTCACTGCCAATATCCAAATCCTGTTAACAATGAAGTCGATGGTATGGTATGGTATGGTATGGGATTAGTTTCTGGCAAAATGTTGCTATTAACTAGAAGTTGTTGATATCAGGGTTGCTGTCAAGAGGCATCCACTGTATCTAAGAATACAATACAAGAAAGTTTGAGTGGGAACACTAGCAAAAAGCTGCAAACACTGAGGGGTTCCCTCTCAGACCACAAGTGGTAGAAAGGAATTGGAGAGGTGGTCAGTCGGCAGCACCCCTGGTACTCTCAGTTTAGAGCAGGAGGTGGGGTAGGATGCAGGCATGGACCGGTGGACACTTCCGGTCTCAGGCACACGGAGTGCATTCCAACCCACAGAGAGTACCCACAGGGACAAGCACTCGAAGAAGAACCCAAGTCATCTGTCCAGTCATCTGTCCATTCTGTTTCCACCTCAAGGGAATATTTTTAATTCAATGTGAAGGGAGTTATGTGTGTAAATTCCTGTGCACTGAAATGAGAATCTACAATTATGCCAGGCAAGTGCAAATGAAGTGTCCCTTAAAAACTGGCCTGCGACATTCACGAGTGCCATAGAAAAACCTAAGACAGATACAACAGATGCAAACTAACAGCTGTAACAAACAAAACTATTAGTTAATTATTTCCATTTGCTTCAAAGCATGAGCATTAACAGAAAGGGAAGTTAAATATTTAACAAGAAGAAAACTTATCATGAAAAACTAAAAGGTAATGTGACCAAATAGTGGCGCCTCAGAAAGAATTTAAAGCTACCCACTCCCAGGACAGGATAGTTGCTCCTGCTGACTATTTGTATCTCCCTGCACCCATACAGTGAATCACGTCCATTCACCCGTTTTTCTTCATACTAACATCCATAAATCACAGCAGAGAAAACAAATATGCAGTGAAAACAGGTTATTAAATGACACTCCAAAACCAGATAACCTTTACATTTTTAGTATCAGAAAAGACAATTAACAAAGCTGTAGTTATTTATAAGATAGAAAATTACATTTTGGCAGCTCATTTGGATTTCATATCAAACCTACACAAACATCATTGAGTCATTTCCCTAAAAATCACTGCTAGTTTTAGAAACTCCTATGGTATAATTTAAATGTAATTTAATAGAATATAATTGCAAAGTGCTTGTGCTCCCTATTATAATAAAGATGTCTTTGATAGGAACTTTGGAAATGATTGCACTGGCAGTATTAATGGTGTCAAGTCAACAGGGGCTGTCATTTTCTATGTTTGTATAATACCTAGCACAATAGGGTTGTGGCATGGATGACCTTTAGGTGCCAATGCAGTATAAATGTTAAATAAAATAATAATAATATATATATACAAAAAAGGAGAGATATGGCAAGCTTTCCCTTTCCCTATCTTATATTTGTAGCAATAAAATGTAAATCATAATTTGAATTTATTTTATGTATTACATTTAATATATGTGTGTAGCATTTTTTAAAAAGTGGATTTCTATTGACTGCAGTACTTCGGTTACTGCAGTGTCCAAGCATGGAATGGAACCCTGTATTGGTTTCCAGTCTTTTTGTTTCACGGTGGCTCTGCTTTATGGTCAAGTACAATAAAATCTAAAGTTCTTCTCTTTTTGGCATCACAGACATATTGTTGCTCTAGAACAATGTGCACAGCCATAGCAAAAGTATATGCATTTTTACCTCCAACATCAGCTGGGTGAATTCTTCATTGCTGAGAAACGAAGGCTTCCAGTCTTGTTGAATTTCACAAATCTCTGTCTGTGCTGAGACTTCTAAACAAATAACAACATTACAATTTTTTTTTAAATCCAAAGAAAAAGTATATTTTGCAAAACTTTATACAAACTGCTGCTAAGGGATGTGAATATTTTGTATCGCTTGAAATGAATAGAGATTTTCAAGCATGGGACATGCATGCAGTGCAAGAATATGGATAATATCCTCATTGGGCCATGTCCGGAGGTCCTTACTCAGTTTTCATTCGGCCAAACCCCATTGTCTTCAATGGGAGTTTGCAGTCAAATGGCCATTGTTTTCAATCAGTGTGTTACCTAGGTGAATACTGAATAAAAAAAAAGGCCTGAGCAAAATTAAAATCAGGATGAGGATTAGCATATATCAAATATGTAGTTACGGTTCACTGAGTTTCAGACTCAGGATGGGAATAACCCAGGGCTAGATTTTGGCCTACAGCCACAACGCCGAGTAGGGGCAGTGAAAAGCATCCTTGAGGAAGCTGGAGGACTGTGCCTTAGAAACCATAATTGCTTCCCCAGTTGCTTGGTGCACAGATGGAATGTACAATTTAAACATCTCTTGTGATGGAGCATCCTTCTTCCCTCACAGCATCTCCAGCCAGCTCCACAGTGCAGTATAGGCCAGAGGATGGGGGAGCAAACCAGAGCTTCACTCACAAAAACCAGTTGGAAAATGCAATCTCCTATCCTTTAAAATAAAAATCTGACTGTGAACCTGTCTGGTGGTTTGATGGTGGCATTCTGTTCTGCCACATGGAAGCACCGTCCAATAAACACTCCTAGGGCACTCGTCCCTTGTAAGTTTTCACTCGGAGAAGTGCAAGTGTACGATAATTATAAATCACAGCTCTGTAGTTAAGACTGAACCCAAATGAGAGTTTGTTGAATAATTTATTTCAAATAACATTTCCAATTAGTACTGGTATATTATGGACCTCAGTGGGTAAGTAATGTAAGAATGTATTTGTCAGATAAATTATTTGATTCATTTCTCAAAATTTGCCTAATATTCTGTTCAATATTCACCCAGCTCTAATAAAAGTACACTTGAGCACTAGCACTGCTGGTCCGGTGGAGGGTAAATGTGGCCTCTCTACTCTACTCTGATTAACCTAATCTATCAACATTTATAGAGCACTTAACACGACGTTCTCTCTGTTTCAAGAGACTGACCACAAACATAAAAATGGCTGAATGATTTAAAAGGCAGTAAACCTATAACAGTGTCTGTGTGAAGTGTCTCATGGAAGTAAACCAAAGCACACACACAAGCACAGGTTAGTGCTTTTATCAGTGGAGCTGCAGCAGTCTGTTTCCCACTAAATTAATGTTTTCAGCATTGGTGGGGTTGTTTTGATACCACAATGCAGTGGCTTTACCGGCCCAGAATGTTCAGCAGATGGCTGGGGAAAAAAGGATCAGCTCCAATCAGCTCTTTATTATGTACCCTGCAAAATGCAGAATATTTTACAGTGGATGCTACCATGGAAAAAATGGCATATTTGAAAAATCAATTTCTGGAAGAATTATTTGAATTTTGGCAAGCTTCCTTGGATTAATACAAAGAGACTGTTTCTTGAGCAGGAAATCTGAAAATTGATCTGCTTTTCTGTTATAACTAAATTATTGGTTTAGAAAGCTGAATGTAAGAGAAAATAGTATTGAATACAACAAATAAAACTATCATATGCAGTGTGGATAAAGCAATGTTTTTAAACTGTATTGTTTGTTTTGTAGTATGTTGCATATCTACTATTGATTTAAACTTTTAAATAATAGATTTTTGTCTGAAAAGTATTTTTCTTTCTTTCTTTTTTTTTAAAGAGTACAAAACCAGTAGCAATTCAGTCCAACCTCTATATACAATCATAGGCTGTTTACTAAACAGAGAACAATTGGGTAAAAGAAAGTCAAATGCCTTTTTTGAGTAAATTATTGGCGCTATCTGATACTTCATTTACACTTATTCAGTTCCTATGTGGTTGTTCTTTAGTTGATTTTTTAAAGTGTGCATATTAACATCTTCCTTTACTCTGCCTTGGGCAGCTAAAAAGAAAGATATATCATTACGGTCACCAAAGAAGCTGTAAAAGAATAACAGATATAATGAAACTTTCAGATGTCCCAATCATGCCCTCTTGCATGAAATCATCTTGTCTATGCCAATATTTCATTAAAAGAAAACCATCACTGCAATAACAGATTAACTATCATTCTTTCCTCAATTATTTTGACATTTGTGACTTAATTATGTTGGTGTCATGATGTAAGAGTTTTATCTGCTTCTTCATTACACCCATATGTCTCAACTCTGAGAAGGTGGAAAGATTGTCCAAGGAATAAAGGACAGCAAAGTGGCATAGACTAATTCACTAGGCCCCAGTCCTGCAAGCTGCTCTGTGAGGTTGGACCCCTTCACCCATATGGAGTTCTAGTGAAGTCACTGGGATTCCAAATGGGCGTAAGGACTGTCACATCTGGAGATGTGGCCCATTTACACTGTTCCAGAACTGTGTATACACTACCTGAGCAGTGTAAAGAGGCCTTATCAAATTAGAATCAGTTCCTACTGCAGACATGCCAAACCCGCGATAAAAACGCAGAAATTGAGCTTGTTTTGAATTGCTTGTTGGCTAGTTTTTGGCTTGTAGCTTGTTGCTTGTTTGCTTTGTAGCTTGTTGCTCATTGTAGCTTGTTGCTTCTTTTTTTTGATCGGCTCCCAGCAAGCTGGGGCAAGAGGGGGCAAGCAGGGGCAAGGGAGGGAGAGAGTCAGGGTGCACAGCGGGCCCACCACAGTCCCCGACTGCACGCCAGGGAGATCTAGTCCCATAGAGTGTTGGGGTTCTTAGGAATTGGCTTGTTTTGGCCTTGTTTTGAAATGGGATTAGCTTGATTTTTGGCTTATTGTGAAAGTCGGGGAGCTTATTTACCGCATGAAAGTTGGTAATTGTGCCCTACTGTCAAAGTTGGCTTAGATTACAAGTGATACGGTATTCTGGTGCTCTTAGTCTTGTTCCTGATTTGAGGCTGATGTGCATGCATAAGGGAACCCTCTGTGTGCAGATCTCCCCCTATTGCAGTGGTTCTAAACCAGAGGTACATGTATCCCTGGGGATACGCAGAGATCTTCCAGGGGGTACATCAACTCATCTAGATATTTGCCAAGTTTTACAACAGGCTACATAAAAAGCACTAGCAAAGTCAGTACAAACTAAAATTTCATACTGACAATGACTTGCTTATATTGCTTTATATACTATACACTGAAATGTAATTACAGTATTTATATTCCAATTGATTTATTTTATAATTATATGGTGAAATGAGAAAGTAATCAATTTTTTCAGTAATAGTGTGGCTGTGACACTTTTGTATTTCTATGTCTGATTTTGTAAACAAGTAGTTTTTAAGGGAGGTGTAACTTGGGATACGCAAGACAAATCAAACTGCTGAAAGGGGTGTAGTTGTCTGGAAAGGTTGAGAGCCACTGCCATCCTGCCAGGAACTTGGAGCCTGCACAAAGCCTTCAAGTGAATAGTCAAGACTTCCAGATCATTTCCCAAGATCTCAAGGGCTCTATGATTTGTGGGGGCTGAAGCATCTCCCCATTTCATGGGGTATGAGGCAGGGGCAACCCCACATCTTTGGTAGAACCATCAGCCTCTGCAAGGCAAAATTTGCAGTATTCCACCCTAGCCTCAGGATTCCTTCAGCAAGAGGTGATCTGTCCCTAAACTTTGCTCACATCACAGACGAGCGTTCCAATTCAGCACATTTATAGTTTTTGTTCAGTGGCCCCCAAGGGAACAGCAAGGGTTAGAGATCAGTACTGAGATATACTGGTAGAGCTGACACGTTTTTATGAGAATAAAAATTCACCCTTCAGATATATTTTAAAATAAATGTCTGGCCGTCATCACTATTCAGCAGCTGTCTTTATTGTGCTCTTCTATGCCAAATTTGCAAATGGCCTCAAAATCAAACAAAATTTGCACCTACATGTTATGCAAATGAAAAACTGGTATTTGCTTGTGCACATTGGGTAGAAATCCCCAAAATTTATGCAAGCAAATATTTGTGAATACAATTTATTAAACCAATTTTAAAAATTTGGCCCTTAATGTCAGAATTTCCCATTGTACTACACTATGCACACATTAGTTCTGAGCTCCCCTCCTTTCTTCACCCTTCAGTCTGCTTGGTGTGATGGCACATGGATCCAAGTGCCACAGAAAAAATGATCAATATTTTACCGCCAGAAAGAATGACATGTCATCTTTCTTTAAGATATTTTCTGTATAGAAAATTATTTAAATTTGCAACTTTGAGCCTTCGCTTTCTCCAATTTTTTTTTAAAAGAATCCTTGATGGATTTTCATCTGTTAAAAGGTGTAGTGGGCATGATGAAGTAGAAACTGAGACCTAGGAGAGACAAGACTATGGATGCTGTCTTAGTAGCAGGTTGGCTTATCCAGGGAAAACAACCCCACTCCAAACCCACTAGCTCTACACCAGGAATGTACAGAGGCACACAGGCGAGCTTCTCATATGATAACTCCCCTATCCCCTATCCTCAGAAGCTGATTCTTTTTCATACTCAGGGCCCACAGTGTGCAGGAGTCACAGCCTCCTTTCACAATACCCC